AAATGACACAAAAACACCATAAAAGTATCATTAAACCATACCATTTGTGTGCCATACATTATCAGACCAAATACATGTCTGTATTCACTTCCATTAGGCTTTTAACATCTGTGACCGGATCATTGAGTCAGTGAGCTGAATGCATCAAGAAGGAATTATTCAAATTGGTTTTGTCAGCCAATTCACTGTAAAGAATTGACTCAAAAAGAACAATTTATAAATTAGACATCACTACATAGCTCATGAATTCACATGAACATGCCCAGAAGAACTGAGCTGAATGTTCAGCGAATAACATCTTCAACTTCAGTCTGTCTCTCACACAAAACGTATATATCTTACGACTAAATGCATATTCCATATGGGCCATGTTTAAAATACTTTATTGTGGTTTTTAGTCATTTTCAGCTTGACAACCACAGTCCATGTTCATTATATTGAAATAGTTATCAGATAAGAAAAGATATCATTTTCATTTTTGGATGAACTATTCTATTAATTTATGTTTGAGTTTATTAATTTTTGAATGTATTATTGTGTTGCGTCCATGCTCTTTCATAGGTTTATGAAATTCTGAGGCGCACAGCCTGCACAAAGACGTGTCAAACTATGGGTATGTTCTTGGAGATGCCAACTCCACAAATATACCATACTCTTTTAAATTGGATTTTTTAACTGACAGTGTTTCAGGAAATATTTTTACTACAGATATTCAAATTTTCTCTCTTTTCTGTCTCAGGTATTTCATCACTGCTAGCTAAAGGGGTTTATGATTCTGCCTTCCCTCTGCATGATGTAAGTAATGCATTTTGCCCAGTTTAATACAGCTGATTTGTAATTCGTCTGTTAGTTCAGTGTAAATGTGTGATGTGGTTTGGGTAGAGCTTTGTGTGTTGTCATTGCTGCAGGGAGACTTTGACAGCTCAGAAGATAAAGAGCATCGCAACGACAGACAGGTGAGTCCTGAACGGCAGCAAGTCACACGGTGACATTTAGGAAAGGCTTTTGATTGATAAAATGACAATAAGCTGCTTATTACTGTAAGATATACTTGTGTGTGTCGTCTCTAAGAAGATACAAAGAATATGTTTGTTTTGAAAATCTGAACCGGGAATGAATGTGTTTTGTGTATTGCAGATGTTGCATGAGGAATGGGCTAATTATGGAGCTTGCTACAAATATCAGCCAATGGACCTTATAAGGTATCAGACATGATGTACATCACCACCATCTGGTTCTGTGAAAGATGTTATTCAGTACACAGATTTATTTTCCTTTCTGAGAACTGTCAGATGTGTTTGTGGACTGCTATAAATAGTTCGACCTTAAATCATATGGCTTGTTGAGGAGAGG